TGGCCCAAATCTATTTAAGGCATATATATATATATATATATATATATATATATATATTGATTTACTCTACTGCAAAAAAAATAGAAATGAAATATGCAAAAAAAAAATGTATATAATCACATACTGACTGCATATATGTGTACGTACAGCATACACAGGTACATACGTACGTATGATCAACGTCTGCATGAGAAATTTGTCTTACGATATGATTCCTTCCGTACCGAATCACGGTAGAAAGTCAACTTTGTTTTTTATTTTTATTTTTCCAAAACTATATATATATTCACATTCAGTAAAAAGTGAAAATTGATGAACTGAAGTTAAAAGTAAATTTTTCTTTTTTTTTCTCCTTTTTGCGCATGCCCATTGTCGTAGAGAACGTGGTCGAAGTTTGAAGTTTTGGAAAGAGGTAGAAATTAATATGTTGGGATTTTGTTATATATAAATCAAAACTATAACATTATTTTCCGAATCATTAGAACAACACAATGGAATACGTATCGAGATTTGGTTGAAAGGTTCAAGAAGAAGAAGATGAACAGAACCAAATTGTAAGGCCTGAAGAAATCGGCCCATGAAATACGTATAATTTCATTTCAAAGAAAGTGATACATATGTACATGTAACAGATACGCATGTGTGTGTGTGTATATATATATTAGTATATAAATTGTTCATTGACTCGGTCTAGGCAAGGCAGACCCAGGCCCAATAATGCATGGATACAAATTTAGGATGTGGTCTGAAATGTTTTTGAATTTGACTAATCAACTAGTTTCCATTTTCGGAAAACGCCAAGCTCACACGTAATATATGAAAGTTTGCTCCTAAGAGATAATTTACGTATCAGTCCAAATAATATAAATATATTATAACGATCGAGGAATATATATATACACGCATTATTATACAATATAACTCTTAAATGCTGATCCACACAATCCATAAATCAAAGAATATCAAAAGGTACGTATATACATTTCATTTGTTTGTCACATAAATTTTTCGCATATAATAAATGTCGTACTTAATATATATGTATATATATATTGTAATTTTTTTTTTGGAAATTGTATACGTTAAAATTGTATACTTCAACCATCATATATTATAACTTGTTCCACGCAGATCATGTAGTGGGAAGAAAGAATCTGGCTGCTTGGTCTGGGAAACCAGAACGGACGGTCTAGGGTTTGGTCACGTGATCACATCACGTTTTTCGCGTTCTCGGCCCCGTTCAGATCCGAAACTGATCCGAATTCTCCTGTGAACCCAAAATTCGAACTCCTGCACTCTATGCAATATGAAACATGCAATCTACACTAGATTCAATCATCAAACATGCATAGACATCAAAGCAAACATGGATTCAAACAATTCAAATCCTAAAACATGCGTGATCGGGTTCTACGAAATCAAAACAGAGCAACCAGGCTCTGATACCACTGTTGGGATTCCTGGGATCTCATGAGCGAATCTAATTCCTAAGAGATCGATTCTAGGGTCGTGCAGCGGAAGTAAAACAAAAAATTTATAGAACCCTAGAACCATGCTGCTATTGAAAACGTAGAAACGTTAGAACGCTTACCTCAATCGATCCGGGGCATGTATCAACTGAAGAATTCGTCCGATCACGAAAGGCAGGAAGATTACCTCGCCCTCTACACGTATCCACACCTCGGGATGGATTCCAACGATTGGAACTTATCTGCTAGGACTCGAATCTCCTTTGAATTCCCTTGAACTCTTTGGATCTCACCAAAAGCTCTTAGAATTCTCTGAAAGTCGGCTCTCCAAAGTCCCCCCTTAATTAGGGTTCTAATCTCTCTCTTATATAGTGATTTAACCCTAATTTCGGTTTAATTTTCGGAAAACCGGAACCCGGAACGGACGGTCCAGAATTGCACGTGGACCGTCCGTTCCATAAAGGCAGAACGGACGGTCTACGTTTAGTGCGGACCGTCCGTTCTATCACATAGAACGGACGGTCTGCGTGCTGTTGTGGACCGTCCGTTCTACTCCTCAGAACGGACGGACCACGCTTCCGGACCGTCGGGTCTCGACCTGTCCGGCTCGGTTTTCCGTCGTTTTCTCTCGTGTTTTTGTCCTTCCCTGCGTGTGTGACCCTGTAGGCTCATTCGATATAGCAGTATAACCCGAAATCTCTATTTCGGATATACAAGTCATAGGCGGTCTCAGCAAGACACTATGACTACCTATCTCGAATAGAGTTGGTTCGTGATCTTACGAACACCAGTGATGATTCCGGCTGATGATCCTTTTGTATCGCGATATCATACGTCGAACATAAGGCATGGACAAGCCACCTTATCTGATTCGACTGCTTTCTCGTTAACTGAGTTCGACTGTCTGAAATAGACGACGTTCGTCTATAGTGCGGCCACACATTTCTACAGTCTCGCTCACACGAGGAGCCCAGCGATATCTCTCTCTTTTATGAGAGGTACAAATCCCGTCTTGACTATCTACAATCCAGTACATGATTCATTTCGTACCTGATACACGCCTTTATAATCCTCCTGTTACGCAGGACGTTGGACGTATTCAAAGCACGCAACTCCTCATGTTGGATTCCGTAGATATCTCAGGTCTTAGGATCCAATCATGGAACCGTCATATGAGATTCAAGTCATGACGCTAGTCCATGTGACAATCTCATGTGGGTCAATCCAGTATTCCGTTCTCCAACGAATACCTATGATCGTGATCGTATCCAATACCTATGATCATCTATGTGATCATCAATCACACATCATACTAGTCTTATTATGTCATCATTCCCATAATGACACAAGACTAGGGAGTTTAGTATCATTCTTATAAGGAGAGCATCTGAGAAAATGATAAATTCTACCCTAGACCAATGTGTAACATAAAGTGTAATAGAACATTACGGTTTCGTTTGGGGGAACATGCATTGCTAAACAAAATAAGGTGCTAAATTTAGATAGCTGCGATTATTATTTACTTATCAAATTTGTTATACGAGGTGCTTATTAACATTTTCGTGGTTCGCAATTGATAAATTCGCCAAATCAGAGAGTTTGACGAGTTTGACGTGTTTGACGTGTAAGATCATACTTTGCTCGTTCTGTGCAGTTTCTACATCCTCTTGATCATTTTCAGATTCTTGCACAGACTGATATCCTACATATGAGCAATTATATATATATATATACATTTATCAGTCAAACTAGTCAACCAAAGAGTCAAACCGGATAAACTCATCAATCAAAATAGTCGAACCAATCTAACTCGGACTGCCCAAATAAAGTGTAAAGTGTAAGATCATACTTTGCTCGTTCTGTGCAGTTTCTACATCCTCTTGATCATTGTCAAATTCTTGCACAGACTGATATCCTGCATATGATCAATTATATATATATATATATATCAGTCAAACCTGTCAACCAAAGAGTCAAACCGGTCAAACTTATCAATCAAAATAGTCGAACCAATCTAACTCGGATTGCCCAAATAAAGTGTAACGTGTAAGATCATACTTTGCTCGTTCTGTGCAGTTTCTACATCATGTTGATCATTATCAGATTGTTGACAGACTGATATCCTACATATGAGCAATTATATATATATATATATATATCAGTCAAACTCGTCAACCAAAGAGTCAAACCGGTCAAACTTATCAATCAAAATAGTCGAACCAATCTAACCCGGACTTCCCAAATAAAGTGTAAAGTGTAAAATCATACTTTGCTCGTTATGTGCAGTTTCTACACCCTTTTGATCATTGTTAGATTCTTGTATAGACTGATATCCTACATTTGAGCAATTATATATATATCAGTCAAACTCGTCAACCAAAATAGTCAAACCGGTCAAACTCGTCAACCAAAAGAGTCAAACCAATCTAACTCGGGCTGCCCAAATAAAGTGTAAAGTGTAAGATCATACCTTGCTCGTCCTGTGCAGTTTCTACATCCTCTTGATCATTGTCAGATTCGTGCACAGATTGATGTCCTACATATAAGCAATTATATGTATATTAGTCAAACTCGTCAAACTCGTCAAACTCCGACTTGTTTGACGAGTTTGAACATTTTTTAGACTCGAATAGTTTGACTTGTTTGACGGGTGCGCTCAGTTTAACTAATATCTAGCATGACCATTAATCTATGTTTTAGTGCATCCGGTTGTCGACAATATCATCGTGACTCGATTTCTATCCGTCTTTTTCACAAAACACTATTTCTCACCCAATCTGAAAACCCTATTTCTATATTTCGGTGACAATTTGTCATTCAAACCATAGTTTTTCAAATTTTTATTTCAAACTCTATTCTTAACGAAAACTTAATAGAAAATCTAAAACCAAATCTCAATGTGTACCCGAAACCCTAAAAAATTTGATTTTTGCGGAGTTCAAAAATCATACGTGGAGGTTTTCGTAAGTAGGGTCCGAAGAGGGGTCGAAGACGATGAAGACGAAGCCATTCTTCGTGCAAATTTATTTGCAAACACGAACTCGCACAGAAAGATCGCACAGAAAAATCAAAGAGTGAAGAGAAAACGAAGAAGAAACAACACTGTGAAGAAATGAAAGTGTCTGTCGAAAAGGGAAAAAAACTGTTTGGTTTTTAAAATTTTTTTAATTTAATAACTTCCTAACTTTTGGACTTTCTCCTTCAGATGTTGACACGTGTATTTTTTAAAAGGGGTAACGTTGTCTTTTCATTCTTTTTCAATTTTTTTTGAAGGTTTTTTTTAAGGGTATGTCATGTAAGTGAAATCGACATTTAAAGGTATTTTTGTAATATTCCCGATTTAATGGTTTAGAATTTTTTTTGGGGTTTATTCCTTTTTTTTATAAACTAGGGTTGCCGCCGGTTCGACTAAACCCTTTTTTCATTCTCTTGCCTACTTCAATTGTCACTCTTATCTCTCTGTTTCCTTTTTTCCTCTTCGATCTTCGTTGATTTCCTCTTGAATTTCCGGGGATTCTTTGAAATCATCCAGATCCGTCGCCGTCGCTCCTCTCCATCGAAACGGGTAAGAGTTCTTCGATTAGGTTCTGTACGTCTCTGTCTTAGGGATAAGGGTTCTTCGATCCTGATTGGGGTTTTATTGTTGAATGAAATTTAGGGTTTTTCAATTATGGCCGACGAATCGGATCTGAATGACTACCTCGACGAAGAAGAAGTGCCAATATCAAAGCTAGAGAAGAAGAAGAAGAAAAAGAAGAACAAGCAGCAAACAACAAACGAGAAAGAGAAACCCAACGAAGAGAAAGAAGAGACAATGAACATCAGGGTCAAGCAAATCTCGGAGAAACCCGACAGAATCGCTCCAATCGTCGCCTATTTCGCTTCTGGGTATGACCCATCTGATAAAACCGATGGCGATGGCGATGGCGATGGGGACGGACACTGTCCAGATGTCGAGGTTTATAGACATAAGGCCAGGACGAAGAGCAAGAGGCTTCAGGTCGTGGTGAGCCCACCTGGCTCGAGCGTGAAGTTCGT